GAATGAATGGGTTTGAAGGATTCTTAACCTTATTAGGTGTTATAGAATGAAAAAAAACATGTTTTTTTTTTTTCAGGACAAAACTATCAGTCTGTGGCCAAGTTAGAGTTACCTTTTTATCAGAAGATTGGTGTGGACAGAATGAAGCTAGAGGCTTTTCATCAGGACAGCAAAAGAATCTCCCCAAAGGCTGGAGTTGCTGCTTCCCTCACAGGCCCATAGTGCCAGAGACCAGAGGAAAGACGTCAGAAAGAAGCCTAAGGTAAGTGTCAGACCTTGGGGCTCACTGTTCCCGCACGTAAGTCGTTGCTTCCAAAACTCTGAGGTGTTAATCTTGGACTTCCTATACTCTGGAACTATGAGAAATAAATTTCTTTTACTTAAGCATTACCCAATCTTGGGTATACTGTTATAGTAGCATAAAACAGAGTAAGACAAAGAATATGCTTGATATTGAATGGAACATTTGATCTTTTATGACTGCATGTGGTTTTCAACATCTCAATTTTGAAGACTGAGAAGCTGGGAACAGTTTATGTCTTAGATTCTCATTCTAATAAGAGGCTTTGGTTTTGGAGAAAAACTTTTTGGTAAATAAATAAGAAAGTAGAACTATTTCATCATTTACATTTGACATTTTTAATTATGCTGTTACTTTTCATATTCAAGCTGTATTAAATAAGAGAAAACAAAATTAACTAAAAGTTGGGCAGCATAATTAACTAATTAGAGAATACCTAACTGATTATAACCAATGAAACAATGTCTCTTTTCCTGTACATCAGTCTAAACATATATAGGTACACAGAGATACCACCCGTGCACACGCACGCGCACACACACACACACACACAGATGACAGTGACAGAGGGGTCTCAATTTTTATATATAGTTAGGATATGAAGAATACCACTCCCTGGGGTGAAACGTTTTAAAAAGTGTGTGTGTGTTTAATTTCAGTAGGCTTAAATGAAAAATTTAACTATGTAAGGGATGACAGAATATACCTATATAACAATGCAGACATCAATATACCTAGAATTATACCGTGAATATACCTAGATTTATGAAAGATTATCTTTCTAGACCCTTAATTTTAGATGATAAAACAGGACTAAGAACATTTATTGTCTGATCCAAACTCAAATCTTGTAACACCGAGGACAGTTCTTTTTTAAAAAATATAATACATCCTCTCAGAAAAGGTGACATAACCACATTATGTTGCTGGGACTCAGATATTTGTAGTCACTTTATGTTCTAAGCCAATCAACCTCTTTCCCAGTTTACACATAGAAGAATGCACTTAAAACAATAAGAAATTCATAAAATAACATGAAATTTTCAGGAAATGGCAAAATTATTGATAATTTATTGATCAAACTTAGATATCAATATAGAGTAACTTTGACTAGAAGAAAATACAAGGTATAGGAAATGTTATGGCATCAATGTGGAAGACTTAAGAAAACATGAAAATTATCACCAGGCAAGGATTAATTTTCCAATAGTTCTCTAAGCATTTAGCTACCTTAACTAATAACTGGTATTCCAGCAGATATCCTGAGATCATCTTTACCTTTCCTCTTCCCATTTGCTAGGTTCTGTGTTTTTATTTTAAAAGTTTGAATCTATAATCTTCTTCATAGACCCAAATTTGGGCAACTGAAGCCATTAAAAGGAACTAGACATGCCTATAATATTCTGCGTGCTAATTCCTGTACATAATGACAGACTTGAACCAAAGTCAGGGGACCTGTGTCCTGTGTCTCCACAGGGTGATCTCTGAGATACAATTTAGACTCCAGATCTTCCTTCACTCACATTGTGCTTGATTGGCTTCTTCCTCCACACTCCTGCTACCCCCATTCTCTTACCAGTTCTCCTGGGAATCTTCTTAATTAATCCCTTGCACTCAAATCTTCATCTCTGGGTCACCTTTTGAGTAATTTATACATATATAAATATATACTTTGCATCTTGCTTTTCTTACTGTACAATGATATTTAGATTCCTAATAATGAAAAAAATAAAGACTTTTAACTGAGTTCTATTATAAGTTTCCCAAATTATCTTCTCAGAAGAAGGAATCATATTATGGATGGAGATACATAACATGTATACTTAGAATCTGAAGTCCTAGGAAGATTTTAAATGGTCCCAATTGTTTTATGCTCTCTCTGAAATGTTTTGATATTGCATTATCTTTGATTAGCTGTCTACACACTTACATATGAAAAGAAAATTATTTTGTATTTAGTTGTGCACAATTTCTATGCTATTGTTTTCTGATTCTATATTATATGCTAAATATTTTCTTGATGTTTATTGAGATTTTTTTTTAAAATATTGATTTAGTGTTTTGCATTTTGGGGTCTACTTATAATTAATCTTTACAACCCAACAAAAGAGTTGATAGCTTTGTTTCTGTTTTGTAAATGCGATGTCTGAGACAAGGAGATTTATTGACTTTGTCCTGGCCAAAGGCATAATGAGAGTCAGAGTCAGAACATGAGTTAGAAATCTTTGGCTTGCAACAAGATGTTTAATCTGTTATCACTGGACCATTGCCATTTTCTTACAAAATCAATCCCTTCACAATATTATCTATTTCAGCATTAAAATACAACTTACATAATGCATCCTAATGCATTATCCAAATGCATTATTATAATGCATATCAATGCATGAAGATGGATATAATGTTAATTATTATACAGTAGAATTGCATTGATTTCCTACATTCTAATAGATGAAAATGGTTTTCTCTTTCTTGAATCTTTATGACCTATCTTTACTGGGAAATATTGCAGGTTACTTTCATTCTCAAACATATGAAGTATAAGTAACTATAAAATGAGTGAGTGATTTTTCTGTGCATGAAATACAACATAGAATGTTTTTATAAAACAGATAATTTGATTATGTGGGCACTGATTTTTAGGTGACCATATATTTTGAATACATAAAGATATATTTAAGAAAGTGGGCAGAAAATATATGTTTTCTTATGGCAGTACAGTACATACAAGCTATAAAATTTGAAAGGCTAACCCTACAAGATTATGAGCCTGTGCTGGCTGGCTAATGTGCAAAATGTGTAGTCTAATTTAAGCTCAGTAAATTCTTTTCTTAAGCTATGGATTTATCCACATGTGTTAATGATAATGTCAGCTTTTATTGCCTACACAATGCTGAACTTACTAGAATGCCAAAAATGAACACAGTCCTGCTAATGAGCTTCTTCTGCCATTAGCTAACCTACATTCACTCACCAAGCAGAGCAGTAGAGGTGGGGCTCCATTTTTCCTCTTCCACTCTAGCTCTTTAAAGAAATCCTACATTTATTTATGATGTTCCTGTTAGGGCTTGGAAAATAGTGACCCAAAATATGCTTCTTTTGGCTTCAAACTGAGAGACCTGAAGAGTAGCTATGCAAGAAGGGCTTTCACAGAAAATTTGTTTACCTAAAGACCAGATCTGCCAGATGAAAAATAGTTGCCATTGATCTTTTAACTGAAATTTCATAAACCAAGGAAATTTTCATATCACAGGGAAAGAGAATGAAAGTCAAACAGCAGATGTAGAATCCAGAATTTGTCTCAGGTCATTGTCTGCTCTTGCAATCCACTCATTTCTTCTAAGAACTACTTATGAGCTCTTTGAAATTGTCTATGGGGTCCCACTTCTCTCTCCCCTGGGAAGAGAGTATGTACATTTCACCCCTCTGACCCTCCCTTGAGTTTCACACCTTGTATGGCTCCTGTGCATACAAACATGCTAAAAATGAGTATGCATTTTCTCCTGCTAGAGTGTCTCTTGCCAGTTTATATCAGTGGACTCAAATTTCCAAACTTCAGAGAGAAAATTTGGACTTGGTTATTTTCCTTTGTTTCAAGTAACTCACAGAAATGAAAGACATTCTTTCTTATTGCAATAAACCACATAAAAATAGTCTGCCTAAAATACATATATCAGGAAAAGAAGAATTTGTATGATAATAAATTCATTGAGAAATTAATATGAGTTACCTTTGGCCTCTACAATTACAAGAGGTGCTCAAAGTGGTGGCCATTAGTTTCCAGACGTTTATTAGCATGGAGAACTGCTAATAAACAGTGTACATACATTTTTTGTCAGGCTCTATATGTAATCTTTATATTAATTTTTTTAATGTTCCATTTGTCAATAGTCTAGAAGTAATATTGCTGCAATATCAAAATTAACTGTCAGGCAATAATAGACATACCACAGTTGCTATGTGGTCTACTGTAATAGCCATACCAAGAATGTTTCCACTGTGAAGAGTATGGAGGGAACAGTACAAACTAAGAAGATGAACACATTAGAATTAAGGAAGTGTATAATTTGGGAAAATATAATAATTCAGGACAATTTTAAATGACAAAATGAAAAATACAATTACCAGCTTCTTGTAAAATAACATAGATAAACTAAATGTAAAGAAAATTTTAACTTCGTTAGTTATTTTCTATTGTCTCAACACATTCTAATTTAGTGGAATGTAATTTTATTTATTAGTTTTGTTTTTTGTTTTTTTTTTCTGGTACCAGGAATCGAACTCATGACCTTGTGCTTGCCAGGCAGGCGCTGTGCCGCTGAGCTAAATCCTCAGCCCAGTGGAATGTAATTTTAAACTCATTGGCAAATGGTAAGTGTTACATATTTCCTTTTAGGTTATTGCAATTTAAGTTTACAATTGCTTGTCAATTGAAGTTTAGAAATAATGTTAAAGCAACTGAACTCTAAGGTGAAGGAGTTTCTACTCTTTGCAGTACTGTATTGTAAAACTCCCCAGTGCAGGACATGATAGAGATGAGCATTTGGCATTTTCTACTTTAATAAAAATAAAATATAGAATTTAAACAGTAAATATCAGGATAAGCCAAACAATTTATGGTGAAATAGTACACTATAAAACATGCCATATATATATATATATATATATATATATTTAAGAGAGTCTAAATAAGACCTACTTTCTCATAGTACTTGATCTCGTAGTCCAGAATGGCTCCATTGGAAAAGGCAGGTGCTTGCCATGAGAGGGCAATGCTATTTTGGGATGCCCAGTCCTTCCTTACCACACCTATTAGAGAAGGTGCTGAAAGGAAAGAAAATAACTAAGAATTAATTATCATGAATCATTTTCTAGAACCCTTAATCTTTCTATTTCAAGAAAAACATAATTCTTGTTGAAAGGACACCAGCTATTGCCATATTAATGAAATAGCTTTAAGACCTACTCTACTCAATCCAAACAAGGCATTAAAATACATTTAGATGCACTGTTAAGAAACATAGAAAAACTCAAATATTCCGAGAATGTAAGCCAGAAATCACCATCTCTGGTCTTATTAGAGGACAATCTTCTTTAAAGTGATTTTGATCTTGATTATAGTATGAAGTATAACATGCTTTGTTCCTATATTTTATTAAATCTACATCTACTACGGGAGGAAATATATACATATTCTGTAATTATAAGATCATTTATAAGCTTTTCTTCCTCCTAAAGATATCTTAAAAGTGTATACTATATAAATTTATTTACAATAAATTGTTGGTTATCATTATTGTTTTTTTATATCATGTGTGAGATATTTGAATAAAATTGAATAACTTCATTAGTTTATTTTCAGAATCATGTTCATCTTGCTTTTTTATTACATTTTTTAAGAAATTCAAACCAAACCTATAATAACCTTGTGTTAAGCTTCCAAAGTTTAATTTTCTTTGTGCCTTTCACAAAACACATTTCATTTTATAAGCCCACCTCAAAGCCATAATGTTAAATGAAATAGACACAGAAGCTTAAGTGTTCTATTTTAAACAGTGGTGTTTGACATCGAAATTCAAATTCATTTATTAAACAAGAAGTCTTAATTAAGCTACATCATTGACAAAAAATTCTAACATTATACTAACACTGTCTGTTGGCCAGGATTTGGGAGAAAGTATTTTAATGCTTTGTTGCTTGTGACACAAAATGGCACAGTTTTTATGGAATTAAACTCAGTAACTTAGGGAAAATTATGTATTTACCTATTCTTTGGCTTTTAGAACTCTATCTCAGAGATTCACTGCACAAATTAGCATATTTACAAGGCAATTCATCGAGATTTATCTTTAAATATTGGAATAACCTAAATATCCATTGAAAGCAGGCTGGTTAAAATAATATGCTGCATTCAATAGAGTATTATGAAATTGTGGAAAGGAATTATGCCTACTTACAAATAATACAGTGGAGTTATTTCAGGATATGTATTCAAGTGAAAAAATAAGGACAGGTGTATGAAACATACTGCAAGGACAAATCTGAGCATAAAAAATGCCAGTGGCAGTGACATCCTTTGTGGGAGAGGCAGTGGGATGAACTCAATATGCTTAGAAACCAGACATCTAAATACATCATACAATCCAGACTAGCTTGGGAGTCCTATATATATTCAAAATGATTAGAAAATGAAGCTAACACTTAAAATAATTCTATAAAATTAAAAAGACATACAAAGAATCATGTGCATAAAGCTGGAGAGACAGCTCCAAGAGTATTACAATAACTTTAAAACACAGTAGTTTAACTTCCATACTAAAGAGATAGGTATTAAAGATTAAAAAAGAAGAACCTGCAAAAATTATTAAACTTTTTTAGTTGGGGTATTTTTGTAACAGTACTGAAACTCTAATCGCAAAGCTGTTGCATTTAGATATAAAGAAAGTAAGGGATTTTTTTCCCTGTGAAAAAAAGATGTCAGGTCAACAATGGTAAATGAAATCAAATGTAAAGTATCATTCTGAACTCATGATCTTTCTGATCAGTGTCAGAAATGTATTAAATATGTAATAATTTTTAAAAAATAATTTAAAAAATTGACTCACTCAGATGCCTTTATTTTTCTTTTTTTCTTATCCTACATTTCTTTCTTCCTTCCTTCCTTCCCTCCTTCCCTCTACTTTTCCTTTCCCTTTCCCTTTCTCTTTCCCTTTCCCCTTCCCCTTCCTCCTCTCCTCTCCTCTCCTCTCCTCTCCTCTCCTCTCCT